TAGTATAGCCACATGCACGAAATGTGTTTAGTAACACACATGTAATATCGAACATAAAATTATGGTAGCAACATTATTTTATAGCTTTGTTCCCTTTAAGAAAAGCCATTTGAAAATTCGACATCATCAACATTTTTGGATCAATAGAGAAAATAGGGAGTCCCTAAATAACGTCCAAAAAGGCAAAATTGAATATGCTACATTGAGCATGTTTATGTAAGACGAGGTAAGTTTTAAAGCTCATTGATAAGTTTTTATTCTGTATAAACATGCGTAATACAAATTGTTTTTCTTTACATTTGTTATATTATAAAATTCAAAAAAGAAAGAAAACTAGTCGTACTTTAGTTAGGCAGCTTATCTTATTAATCCCCTTCCGCGTAGCGGTAAGGGGAGTATAGGAATGGCCTACGTCTGTCAGTCCGGACGTCCGCCTGTCCGTAACACTTTCGTGTCCGCTCCATAACTTTTAAACCGCTGATTTTTTTAAAATAACTTGCCACAAGTGATCACCATAATGAGACGATGTGCAAAGCGCAAGGTCACACTCAAAGGTCAAATGTTAAAATGTCTTCACTTCATAATAAAAAGTGTACATTTCGTGTCCGCTCCATAACTTTTAAACTGCTACATTTTTTTAGAAATTAAATACCATAATGAGACGATGTGCAGAGCGCAATAAGTGGGTTGCTACCCCCAAAGTCAAGGTCACACTTAAAGGTCAAATGTTAAAAAGTCTTCATTTCATAATAAAAAGTCTACAATTCGTGTCCCCTCCATAACTTTTTAACAGGCGAAGTTTTTAGAAAATAACGTGGCACGATTGATCACCATCATAAGAACGTGTGCAGAGTGCAATAATTGGTTTGCCACCCTCATTGTCAAGGTCACACTTAAAGGCCAAATGTATAAAAGTCTACATTTTGTGTCCCCTCCATAACTTTAAAACCTCTAGGTTTTTTTTAAAAAGCTTGGCACAAGTGATCACCATTATGAGACAATGTGCAGAGCACAATAATTGGGTTGCTGTCCCTAAGGTCAAGGTCACACTTAAAGGTCAAGTGTTAAAAAGTATACATTTTGTGTCCGCTCCATAACTTAAACCGCTGAAAAGTTTTTTTTTAAATAACTTTGCACGAGTGATGACCATTATGAGACGATGTGCAAAGCACAATAATTGAATTGCTACACCCAAGGTCAAGGCCACACTTACAGGTCAAATGTTAGAAAGCCTACATTCCGTGTCTGCCCATAACATTTAATTAAGCCGCTGCAATGTTTTAAGATAACTTGGCAAAATGATCACCATTATGACACTATTAGCAGAGTACAATAATCAAGTCACAACCCTGAAGGTCAGGGTTACACTCAAAGGTCCAATGTAAAAACATCTATTTTTCATGTCCACTATATAACTTATTGACAATTCAAAGGTTTTAAAATTACTTGGCACAAATGATCACCGCCATGACACAATCTGCAGAGCTCAGCAACCAGGCTTGCTACCCCCAAGGTCAAGGTTATATGTTCTCCATAACTTTTTTTACTTTATGGAAGATTTTAAATAACATGGCACAAATAATCACCATCATGAGACTATGTGCTTATGATATGCATGGCATAACATCAAGGTCATGGCTGGTAAAAGGTCAAGAAGTACACATTCATGTTTACTGCGGAAGGAGATTTAGTTGTCCTTCAGACTGCCTTGTTTATATTTTAACATCCGTGTACAATTACAACATTCGAAAAATAATGTTACTTTACACGTGCACTCTACACATCGTACATTTTATCCTATACACTTAAAGGCCACGAACATGCTTTGATTCAATGTCCAGTTACAGTTTCCAAAAAATTTTACTCATGCATGGCCGTATAGCTTTGCGAAGTCATCTTTTTCTTCGGTAGAGTTTTGGCACAGATATAGTGGTCTATTATTTTGCATGGAAGTCACATGCTATAACATAGCGCTTTCAAATAGTATACAAAAATGTACCGAAATTATCAGAAATCATCAGCTATGAATAGCGCACTACAGTAGTCAAATAGCATAATGTTTTCTGCCATTCCATTCAGCCAAACATAAATAATTTATAGTCATTGTACGTCGTTGAGAAGACACAGGACATCGGCAGATGTTTGAAGAACCAATGCTACGTAGCCCGGGGTTCTATGATATCATGGTACTTAACGTTTATTAGAAAATATTCAGATATATATATATCATACATGGATAAGATTTTCCTTCTATTTAATCAGTGAACCTTTTCCAAAACTGTTTGTCAAAAAATTATTTCGAAAGATCCAAATAAAATGACATTTTTTAAACTATTTCCAATGTCTGCCATTTTGGGTAATTTCAGAGGAGGTTACTATGGTATCACGGTAGTCCCTAAAAATGGAAGGATAGATGGGTCAAAATCTTCAAGTTAAGGACGTTTTCGGGAGTTTTCATATAGACATATACATATAGGCAAAATTAAAACTGTTTAATAGAATTTCTTTAAACTTGGCATGTTGTTAGAATATGATAACAGAAACATTTTAAGCGAGAAAAAATGGGGGTCACCGTTCTCGTTTTTGGGTTATCTGCCCCTGAATCAGAATTTTCTACTTATTTGAGGTCATTTCAAGGGCAGATAACTTATACATACTTAAACGAATTCTTGATTTTACCTCTGGATTATGTTTTTTCTTTTTATTGTTGAGTACAATACATAATAACAAGCAATTCCTTATATCGTTTCTGTTATTTTTTTCAATGAAAATAAAGATACTTTAAATTCTTAAAGAATAGGGCGTTTTTAAGAAAAATACACAGGTAAAAAGAAAATGTGGAAAAAAAATTACCCACTCTAAATTTGTTCTTGAAATTTTGCAGATTGACTAAAAGGAAGGTAAGCTTCATGAAAATAAGAAAATAAGTGTATTGTTTCCCTTCATTGTAAATTATCTGCCCTTGAATTTAACGAAAAACTCGAATTCAAGGGCAGATAACTCGAAAATGAGTACGGTGACCCCAATTTTCGCTGAAAATGTTTCTGTTATCATATTCTAACAACATGCCAAGTTTAAATAAATTCTATAGAACAGTTTTAATTTTGGCTATATGTCTATACTGGGACATAAGATATGTCCCAGGTCTATATGAAAACTCCCAAAAACGTCCTTAAGTTGTGTAAAACTTCCAACAGTTGTGTAAAACTTCCAACAGTTAACTTGCTATAACATTTAAAAACATTTAAGGAAAATAGTAGTAAAATACGACGATTTTATAAAATATGTTTCTTGTCACAAATACATTCATTATTTAACAGAGGCAGATGAAAATGAATTGAGTGTGTCAGTTTTAAAAATATTAGCATCATCGTGTGTTGTTTTTATTAGCAGTCACAGAAAATGTAAATACCGTGATATCAAAGAACCCGTGATATCATAGGAACCGAGTATATACGTGTAAGACGGGAAATCCGCATGTTTTCTACAACTCGGAGTTCAAACTCCCCGCAGCGGTTACTTCCCCTGATCAGTACAGTACAATTCTGCCAAGGGAGGTAATCACTGTGAGGAGTTTGCTCGGAGTTACGTTTTTAAAGCTTGCGTGAAGTTAGCTGCCGGCCGGTGTCTGGCGAAAGCCGAGGAGAGTGGCCCTATAAAGTAGGCAGAGTCGACAAGGATGGTGTATTAGGGTGCACTTCATATTATTTTAGTCATTCGCCTTTGTTATATTTGATGATACATGTATTTTTTTTGTCCAGAGCATAACTCGCTTAGCATTTGAGATATGAACTTCATTGGTGGACAGATCTCATTGTTAAAGCGTGCAGTAGCTCTACCTTCCAAATGTTTAAAGATATACTGCGCTCAATTATGAGTGAAATATTTTAATCACAGAATCTTATCGTTATCTATATAAAATTCTTACTGAATATGTTAAATTTCAAAACGATGTATGGGAAGCTACATGTACATTTCCTATTACAAATAAAGGAAACTGGGTCTTTTCTTAAAAAATCCATTTTTTTTTTTAAGTCAAAACATGTTTATTTTATATTTACAAAGAGACTTTGTAACAATCATTTCTTATATCAAATTTGAGCATTTTAAGCGTATGTAAAAAGTTACAACTTTGTTCATAACGGCAAAATGACGTCAACATTTGAACAAAAGGCGTACGGAAATGATGTCATTTAATGCACTTGAGTAAGACAGGTCTTTCTAGCATAAGTGGAAACAAGTTCTAAAGTCATGTCTGGTATGCTAACTTGAAACTTCATTACCTGCTAGATTTCATTAAAGAGGAGTGCAATACATAAGTATAAAAACTCTTCATTTCATTCTTTCAAAGTAACGTTATTTGTCAGCCGAATCTAGATGAAAGTAGTCTGGCATGACACCAGTGAAAATACCGAAAAATATATGTTTCACTGCAGTGAAAAATAATACTTTACAGTGAAAATACGGAAAATGAAAATACGCATTTTATTAATTCAATATTTCACAATATTCCATTTATAAGTATATAATGTAAATGTAATGTTATATTTCCTAGTAATGACTAAATATTCTCTAGCTGGGACTATACATGACTGTTATCGTAAGTCCAAGCAGAGAATATTATAATCGTGGTCCTAGAACTGAATGAGATATTCCTTAAAAGATCTATATTTAGTAAATGTTAGCTTTTTATACATGGTCTTTTTATAAGTGTCTTGTTTTATCAACATAAAACGTTCTGTTTAAATTTATCCTGGCTGAGTCATGTTTCATGGAAACTATGTCTCGGTGCGTAAGACAAAAGAAAAGTATTAGTAGTCTGATACCGTTGAACTCATTCAAGTACATACATGACGAAGCAGAGTTTCTTCCCCTCTATTAATTAATTTCCGTAATTTTCCGGAATTTTCGTCTGAAAAAATTTAAAGGGAAAATGAATCGTTCTTAATTCTTGTCATGTACAGATAATGAAATCGTTGTTTAAAATATATTCATAGTCTCCTAAATATGCAGTTTTCAGTGACTTTTTTCAGTAGTTATTCTGCTTTTAAGAGAAATCCCACATGTGATGTCATCTCCGTTAGGTGTTTAATATGGCGGCGCGAATCGTCCGTAAATCACGTGACCATTCAGCTATTGTAAGCGCAATATCCAGGTATGTGTGTTTGTCTCAGAAAAAACGCAATTTTCTGCATTGATTCGTATGAATCGTATTTTTTGTCTTTGCCATTTATTGAATTAATATTTCATGATTATAATGAAACCATCCAAACATGTGTAAATTGCCGGTTTCGGTCCTTAAATCCTTTTTCCTCGGTAGCTAAATCCAGCATGGCGTCACATGGGAAACAAAATAACAGGAATGTTATTGTTTGTTAAAACGTGCTAGATATACGTTCAAATGAGAGAAACACTATTATTGATATAGGTTTTCTTCGTGTAATTTCGGACAAGTCGTCTGTGTAACTTGCTTTTATCAGTGTAAATAATTTTCATGCGACAAAATTTCTTTACCCCACCCACTTGACCGGTTAACAGACTACATAAAATTCAACAATCTTCCAATATCTTGTCCCTATAATTGTGAATATAGATTAAAATTGATGTAAAAGTGGTATAAAAGTATTTTAAGTCCGTCAAAATAATACATTGATTAGTGCTTTATGTTTAATTATTAGTGATAAGTGTCGGAATATATTTCATCATTTATAAGAATAGATTGAAAATGACACCATGACGAGCAGGCTGCATGGAAAAAGAATTTATATAACATGTATAATTGAGAAGAGACTGCAAATTAACAAGAGGAATATTTTGTTTGCAAATTAACAGGATATTTTCCTTACGTTAGGCAGTACTGCATGCTCGCGGCAATTAAGTTGAATTAACTAATAATAGAACATATCAAATTAAGGTGTGGAAACTGGATTAAGAATAATGTTTGTTCAATTAATGAATATTTGTTAAGCATTAATATGGTCACTAGTTTACCATGTGGTAATTTTAATGTGCTTTGGGGTACATGTTCGTTTGTTTATGACTGCCGACACAGATTAAATACTTAGTCCATGCAATAAAACATTTCTGGTAGCAGCAAGGATTCTGTCATCATTTTCCAAGGTTTGGCACCTTTAGCGACGTCATTTTGTTAGTGCTACTTGGATAAAAGCCGGACAGTCGGACCAATCCTGAATAAAAAATCGTCGGACCTAATCAAAATTTATCGGACATGTCCGTCGGACCGATGTATTTCGGGAAGTCTGAGTAACTTAATGATTTCAATGGGTCTCTGTGTTTTTTCTGCTAGCATGTTTTCGCTTTTGAAATTGGTAAACGCAAATATTCAATGACCAAGTCGGACGAGTCCCAAGTCATTGTCACTGTAAACTTGGGTGTACTCCAAACAATAAGAAATTGGGACAAGTCATTGTTTTATAGTGTTCATAAGACACTGTTAAAGGATGTAGACATTGTTGTAGGCACTTCTTCTGAAGAACCTTTTTTTAACCTTTTTCAGATTGTTTGTATATAGAGTATTGTAAATACTGTATAGAATGAAGAATACAGGTGGCTCCGGCCGGAGCAAGTCCGCTAAGGACAAGGGAAGCGGTAAATCCGCACAGACACACATACAAAACACAGCCAAGTCGGAGGGACCTCCGATGAAAACAATGCAGGTATAATGTTATATAATGGTATAATATTTTTGGTTATTTTTTCTGCACAATAATTAGTTAGTTTCTTACCCAGCAGTTGTGCTAAAAAAAGACTTGTGACCAAGGCTAACCAAACTTGATAATAGAACCATTTGTATTGACCTTGATTCCTGAAACTTAATATTTAGAAGCACATTGATGAATTCTATCTGCCATACTCGTGGCGTCCGTGACCAAGTGGTTAAGGTTGTTACTCAAAACCACTTGCCCCTCACCGCTGTTGGGATTAAATCCTGACAGGAATTTTGAATTCTTTCAAGTGAGGAAGCTATCCAGCTAGCTTACGGAAAGTCAGTGGTTCTACTCAAATGCCTATTTGTGCCTGAAATAATTATTCAATAATTAAGAAATTAAATGAAACATATTTTCTTTATGTTATTAATATGATCAAAAATATTTGTCATTAGCCAGTATGTTGAATGTTGTTAATTTCATTTGCAGCCGACTGCAGAACAGCTTGCTTTGAACAATTTGATCCACAGTAAAGATTCTACAGCTGAAGATGCAGATCTAAAAGATAAAATCAAACAGGTATTTATATTTCTTAACTAAAGTGATGGAGGAAGGGGGTGGAGGACATCTCCCTTCACTAGAAATATTGAATGTAAGAACTGTGTGTATGATTGGGATAGAATTTGTCGTGGATACTGGATATAACCGTTAATTATTGAGAAATTGGTTTTAGTGGAATGAATATTTGTTAATATCTTTCATTAAAAACATGTTATGGTATGTTGATCATTTGTGAAGCAAATACTTTCTAAACATTATACCAAGTCTTCATCCATGAAAAACTTGTTCTGTTGTCAGGCGAAGAAAGATGGTCATGATTTTTGAATGCTTAAACTTGGGACTATTTGGTTGAGAGCAGGGTTTTTTTTTCCAGGATTTTGGGAACATGACCTATACTCATGGAAATGGGAAATTCAGTGATGTTTTGTTAAAAATTGGGAAAAAATGCATGAATTAAATCTTGCAGTGATTAAAATTTTAAATGAAAGCAAAGAATCACTGTCTAGGATGACATCTTCAAACATTTAAGCGCCTTCACAGTGAAGAAGCCCATATTTTCAAAGATTTTACAATTTATTATTCAATATTTATATTTTGTAACTTTCAATTGGGAATTTTTTCCTGTGGATCGGGAAAATAATATACTATTTTCAATCGCGAATTTCGGCTATAAAATAAGCCAAAAATTTCCCTGGAGAGGGACACTTTTTAAAGGGTTGGACCACTACACCTGTTGAATTATTTTTGTCCTAACAGCTGGATGATATCAATCATATTATTAAATGTTTACCTTGTTTGTTGCAGATAATGGATTTGACTTTCTGTTCACAAGAGAAGGCAGAGATAGCTCTGTATGACAGTAAGAATGACATGGATAAAGCTGTCAACCAAGTGTTAGAGGGAGGCTCTGATGAGGTAAATCTTCCTATAACATTATATGTAAATGACGTGATATCACTTGAAAAAGTAGGAGAAACACTGCACCATTTCACTTGTTGGGTTTTAAACATATATATTTTACAAGAGAGTTATGATTCTTAACAGATGGTGTCCTGCTCTTTATTGTACCTCACAGATATAAACCTGTTGCTCTAGTATTAATTTTCACTTACAGGGCCCTCGATCAACCAAATCTGCGGCCGATATTCGGCCGCAGTCCCCCACCAAAATAGTATGTTTTTTTCCCCCTAACAGAGGTAAAAATTCCCCCTCAAAACATATAAAGTGTTAAAGAGAAAAATTAAAACTAATGTTGTTTTTGAAAATTAAAATCCATCTATTTGAGCGGAATATCGTACAGTAACGTTACATGTCTGCACGTTTCCGTTTGTTTTTTCCCCCAAAATCTACCGTCACATTTTGGCCTTTCATCCTGTAAAAATGCTAAAATTTCAACAGAAATATGCAGAAAAAAATCACAATTCCCATCAACAATTTGATTTCAAATTGTTTATTCATGAAATCATTTTTTTTGTCTTCAAAATGTTACATCAACCACGGTAAATTTTGCCGTGAATTACAAACTTGTAAGTTTTGTTTTCATGATACTTTATTAAATAACTGATGAAAAACGATCTTATAATAAACAATCAATTTAATTTTATATAATCTACATCAGAAACAACTAGAATTGTGGATGTGTAAACAGAAAACAAACAAATTTTCATTTGTCACATATTTTCGCGAGGCCGATTTTTATGCCCCCACAGAGTGGGAGCATATAGCGTTGCACTTGTCCGTCCGAGTGTCCGTCCGTCCGTCTGTCCGTCCGTCCGTACGTCTGTCCGTCTGTCCCGAAATCTTGTGAACGCAACTCCTCTTAAACCGGATGGCAGATTTTGCTTAAACTAACAGGGATGAACAACCTTAATGTGTTGATGGTAGTAAAGGAAGGAATTTTTGCTGTGACCAAATTTAACAGAATTATGGCCCTTTGTTGATTTTTTCACTATACACTATGTAGAAATTTTGTGAACTCAACTCCTATTAAACCGGATGGCAGATTTTGCTTAAACTTCCACGGATGAACAACCTTAATGTGTAGATGGTAGTAAAGGAAGGAATTTTTGCTGCGACCAAATTTAACAGAATTATGGCCCTTTGTTGATTTTTTCACTATATACTATGTAGAAATTTTGTGAACGCAACTCCTCTTAAACCGGATGGCAGATTTTGCTTAAACTTCCAGGGATGAACAACCTTAATGTGTAGATGGTAGTAAAGGAAGGAATTTTTGCTGCGACCAAATTTAAGAGAATTATGGCCCTTTGTTGATTTTTTCACTATATACTATGTAGAAATTTTGTGAACGCAACACCTCTTAAACCGGATGGCAGATTTTGCTTAAACTTCCAGGGATGAACAACCTTAATGTGTAGATGGAAGTAAAGGAAGGAATTTTTGCTGCGACCAAATTTAACAGAATTATGGCCCTTTATTGATTTTTTCACTATATACTATGTAGAAATCTTGTGAACGCAACTCCTCTTAAACCGGATGGCAGATTTTGCTTAAACTTCCAGGGATGAACAACCTTAATGTGTAGATGGTAGTAAAGGAAGGAATTTTTGCTGCAACCAAAGTAAAGAGATTTATGGCCCTTTGTTGATTTTTTCACTATATACTCTGTAGAAATTTTGTGAACGCAACTCCTCTTAAACCGGATGGCAGATTTTGCTTAAACTTCCAGGGATGAACAACCTTAATGTGTAGATGGTAGTAAAGGAATGAATTTTTGCTGCAACTAAATTTAACAGAATTATGGCCCTTTGTTGATTTTTAGTTTTCAACTTGTGGCACATGTAGTCCAAAAAATATTTGACCTAGAGTCATAAGATTGACAGAACAGTGGCGTGTGGGGGCATCCGTGTCCTTTGGACACATTTCTAGTTTACGAATGTTTTACAAAGTCAAGAAAAGGAAGCTTTGTCTTATTAAAAGGTGTGTTAGAACACTAGAAATGTAGTGTATGAATAGAATTTACTTTAGGTCCATGTATTGTTCATATTAGTGGAAATGGAGACATTTGTCTGAATGTGTTTCTAAATAATTAGGGGGGAGGGAATCATACAGAAAGCTAAGCAGCATAAAGATCTGATGGTGTAAGGTGTTAAATTTTTCTTCAAATCTTATCAATCACTTCTGAACAGTTTAGTGTTACCTATTATGGATTTTTTATAAAAAATAATATGCATGTAAATAAAAAACAGCTGATATTTAAATAAGTGTATTTGATAATAAAAGAAAAGAGAAAAATTCCCCCCATACACTAAAATTCCCCCTGCTGAGGGTAGCGACCCGCTTCCCCCAAATTGGATTGAGGGCCCTGACTTAGTTATACTCATTGGTGAAAATTCAATCATGGCTATTGTTTTACTATGAAGTACTCTGAATAGTAGAGCATGCTGTCAAGTCTCGCAAGTCTTTAAAAGTTTTACATGTATGATGCATCTTATTATGTCAGACCCATCAAACTATGGTAATATTAATTGTAAACCTAATTAAATTAATCAGAGTGAGTGGCGAGAGTCTGGCAAGAAGAAAAAGAAACAAAAGCCAGAGCCCACCCCAGCACCCACAGAAAATCACAATGACACCAAACCCGACAGACGAGATAATAGAGACAGAAATGAACGAGATAATCGTGACAGAAACAAAGAGGAGAAGGAAAATGGCGAGCGTAATTTTCGTGAACAGTCGGACAATTATCGGCAGCGTGCCCGTCGTAATGACAACAGACCTCCAAGGTTATCACGGGGTCGTGGCAGACCGGACAGAGCTGGAGACAGACCAGAACGTGGTGAAGAGGAGAATGAAAAGGATGATAATCGTGACAGGGGATTTGATCGTGGCAGGGGTCGTGGACGAGGGTTTGGTCCACGGCGTGGAAGAGGTGGTGGCAGTGGAGGAGGGGGTGGAGGGTAAGTAAAAGCAAACTAGTTTCCCTAATTTTGATAATCTTTGTAAAAGCAATAAGATTCATTGTATTTGACTGCATCATTAAATTATTATGCAGATAGCTTATTTGAAATAAACATTTCATTTAAGATAATTGATTAATGAAGTTAGTTATTAAATTCAACATATTGCTATACACAGTTTAGAACTTATGCCAATGTTTTCCTTACAATTTTCAATATATTGCATGTCATTATTCGAAGAACATTGAACAGCGAATGAGTGATACTGTTGCATTGATTTTTGAAACACCCAATACCGGAATTCAGTAACATGTATGTTAACAGCAGTGCTATCAATCATATTTCAAAATCAAAATAAAATTTGTATTTTACATTGCAGGACTTTCCGACCAAATAGAGGTTTTGAAAATAAGAATTCCCAGTTTGACAATGGTCCACAGATAGATACATGGACTAATGAAACAGCTGTGATAGGCGAGAAAGAACCAAAAAGTAAGTTTATACCCATGTTAAGTTTTGTTTTACTCATATACTCAAGAATGGATAAATGAACCTACTTCCTGTTTTTTGTAAGTAATGCACAAGGTTAAATAAAATATATAGGTTCTCAAAAAGGTACACGGATCGGATGTAGCAGGTGCTTGTAATAGCAAGACTTGTTTCACATTGAATTGTATAGGCTTGCAAGACAGGGTACACATTGAATTGTATAGGCTGACAAGACGGGGTGCTTGTAATAGCAAGACTTGTTTCACATTGAATTGTATAGGCTTGCAAGACAGGGTACACATTGAATTGTATAGGCTGACAAGACGGGGTACACATTGAATTGTATAGGCTTGCAAGACAGGGTACACATTGAATTGTATAGGCTGACAAGATGGGGTACACATTGAATTGTATAGGCTGACAAGACGGGGTACACATTGAATTGTATAGGCTGACAAGACAAGAGTACACATTGAATTGTATAGGCTGACAAGACAGGGTACACATTGAATTGTATGGGTGCACATTGAATTGTATAGGCTTGCAAGTCAGGGTACACATTGAATTGTATAGGCTTGCAAGACAGGGTACACATTGAATTGTATAGGCTTGCAAGACAGGGTACACATTGAATTGTATAGGCAAGCAAGACAGGGTACATTGATTTCATTTATCCACTGTGGTACTTGTTTCTAATGTTTGTAGCAGTAAATAGTGCACATCCATACTGTCTGACCAGGCTTAGTACTGTTATTAGCTGAATAATATTTGTATTTTGATATTGAACTCCCAATAAAATCTATAAGTACTGATCAAGACGGGACAAATTATTTTAACAAATTCCGCAGGCTTGAGTTTAATTAATACTCTGTAAACATTTAAGTTAATTTGCAATACAGAAATGATAGATTAATTTCTTTACATTCTTTCCAATTAAAAAATATATTGTTATATATATATATATATTTACAGTATCTAACTGGGGTGATTCAAAAGAAGACTGGAATGAGGATATAGATAGCTGGACTGGAAGTGTATGTTATACTATTTTAATATTTTCTTTGGGATTGTGATTTTTGCATAATTTAATCTTGCATTGTTAATATAATGGTACATAATTATGCCCCCATTTCCAAGAAAAGGGGGTATATTGCTTTGCACTTGTCCGTCCGTCGGTCCGTAGACCAAATGGTTTCCGAGTGATAACTAAAGAACCCTTAGGCCTAAGAACTTTAAACTTGGTATGGTGATTGGTCATGACAAGTAGATGACCCCTATTGATTTTGGGGTCAAGGGGTCAAAGGTCAAGGTCACATTGACCTTGTAAGCAAAAACGGTTTCCGATCAATAACTAAAGAACCTTAAGGCCTAGGAACTTCAAACTTGGTATGGTGATTTGTCATGATCAGTTGATGACCCCTATTGATTTTGGGGTCAAAGGGTCAAAGGTCAAGGTCACATTGACCTTGTAAGCAAAAACGGTTTCCGATCAATAAGTAAAGAACCTTAAGGCCTAGGAACTTCAAACTTGGTATGGTGATTGGTCATGATCAGTAGATGACCCCTATTGATTTTGGGGTCAAGGGGTCAAAGGTCAAGGTCACATTGACTTCTTGGGTAAAAACGGTTTCCGATCAATAACAAAAAAACCCTTAGGCCTAGGAACTTCAAACTTGGTATGGTGATTGGTTATGACCAGCAGATGACCCCTATTGATTTTGGGGTCGAGGGGTCAAAGGTCAAGGTCACATTGACCTTGTAGGTAAAAACGGTTTCCGATCAATAACGAAAGAACCCTTAGGCCTAGGGACTTTAAACTTGATATGGTGATTGGTCATGATCAGTAGATGACCCCTATTGATTTTGGGGTTAAGGGGTCAAAGGTCAAGGTCACATTGACCTTGTAGGTAAAAATGGTTTCCGATCAATAACGAAAGAACCCTTAGGCCTAGGGACTTCAAACTTGATATGGTGATTGGTCATGATCGGTAGATGACCCCTATTGATTTTGGAGTCAAGGGGTCAAAGGTCAAGGTCACATTGACCTCTAAGGTAAAAACAGTTTTAATCAATAACGAAAGAACCCTTAGGCCTAGGAACTTCAAACTTGGTATGGTAATTGGTCATGATCAGTAGATGACCCCTATTGATTTTGGGGTCAAGGGGTCAAAGGTCAAGGTCACATTGACCTCTTAGGTAAAAGCAGTTTCCGATCAATAACTAAAGAACCCTTAGGCCTAGGAACTTCAAACTTGGTATGGTGATTGGTCATGACCAGCAGATGACCCCTACTGATTTTTGGGTTAAGGGGTCAAAGGGCAAGGTCACATCGACCTTGTAGGTAAAAATGCTTTCCGATCAATAACGAAAGAACCCTTAGGCCTAGGGACTTTAAACTTGATATGGTGATTGGTCATGATCAGTAGATGACCCCTATTTATTTTGGGGTTAAGGGGTCAAAGGTCAAGGTCACATTGACCTTGTAGGTAAAAATGGTTTACGAGTCATAACTAAAAACGCTTAGGCCTCGGAACTTCAAACTTTGTATGATGATTGGTGGTGACCAGCAGATGACCCCTATTGAGTTTTGGGTCAAGGGGTCAAAGGTCAAGGTCACATTGACCTTGCAAGTAAAAACGGTTTCTGATCAATAACTTAAGAACGCTTAGGCCTAGGAACTTGAAACTTGGTATGGTGATTTTTCATGACCAGCAGATTACCCCTTTCGATTTTGGGATCAAGGGGTCAAAGGTCAAGGTCACATTGACCTTGTAAGTAAAAACGGTTTCTGATCAATAACTAAAGAACGCTTCGGCCTAGGAACTTCAAACTTGGCATAGTGATTGGTCATGATCAGCAGATGACCCCTATTGATTTTGGGGTCAAAGGTCAAGGTCACATTGACCTTGTATGTTAAAACGGTTTCGGATCAATAATAAAAGAACCCTTAGGCCTAGGAACTTCTAACTTGGCATGGTGATTAGTCATGACCAGCAAATGACCCCTATTGATTTTGGGGTCAAGGGGTCAAAGGTCAAGGTCACATTGACCTTGTAAGTAAAAACGGTTTCTGATCAATTAACTAAAAATTCTTAGGCCTAGGAACTTCAAACTTTGTATGATGATTGGTCTTGACCAGCAGATGACCCCTATTGAGTTTTGGGTCAAGGGGTCAAAGGTCAAGGTAGATACTTGATAACCCTTATTAATTGTTTGATCACTGGGTCAGAAGTCATGCATAATTACCTTATCACATGAATAATTGGCTGCTGATAGGGGGCATACATGTTTTACAAACATATCTTGTTTACAAGTGGTTTCTTTGAGATGTAAATTCAAAGTCTTAAAGATGCACAATTTCTTATTTTTATCATGTCATAAATAAATAAGTTTTAAAGTTTTTATGTTGGGCTTTAAAATTGTAGTAGATTATAAAAAAAAAATGTTAAGAATTTGATTTCCTCTCCTTCAATGTTGCTCTGCTAAGCCATATAATCTAGAGAGAACAGCATTTCTATATGATTTATATGGAATTTCATTGTATAGTAAGCATTTAAAATCAGTCATTTACACCTAATGAAGGATAGAGTGTTGTAATTATATTGAATTGTAAGGGGCTTGAAAAGGTCTTACAAAGAAGTTAATGTAAGAGTTACTTGTTTGAATCATTTTAGTTGGCAGAAACAAAAGTTTTTACAGCCAGTGGCTCATCAGCACCAGAACCAACAAATCCAGTACCGATAGAGTCAAATGCACTCTCCAACACGTATGTTCATTATTGTTTTTTGTGAGAAGATATATTTAATGATTGTATAAGAAAAATTTAGTTAAGAAAATCATTTCTTGCATATATTTGAAAAAATGTCATATGTACATGTATTACACATATTTATCTATATCCTGACCTGTATTTATGTTATAATATAATTATTTTTCTGTGATAAATGTGTCCCAGGTCTGAAAGTCCACAAATTACATATACTGTATGTCTTGGTCTTTTTGTAACTACAAATTAATTCTATGTAAAGATATAGAGGACTATGTTGTTAGAAGCACTACTGAACATAGATTGCAGTCGTTATGATAGATTTTTAAGTTGAAAATTTCTATTTTCAGCATACCTTTGAACTTAACCTAAGTTGTTTTAGATCACTTTAATTGCTGATTAGGAAAATATGAAATGCTTTGAAAAAAAATTAGGCGTCCAGGCCAGATTGGTTAAGGTCAGCGACTCAAACCACTTGCCTGTTATCCCTGACAGTTTGAATGCTGCCCTTTCATGTGAGGAAGCTATCCAGCCGCTTACGGAATGTCACTGGTTCTACTCGGTGTCTTTTTGTGCCTTAAATAATGCACTGTGGTGCGCCTGTGGTCTTCTTCTACCAGTAAAGCTGGAAAGTAGCCATATGACCGTAAATAAGTTGGTATGACATAAACCCAACAAAAAAAATATATTTTAACAAGCATTATTGTCCTGTTTTGCCAGGTTCGATCTCGGAGGATTATACCCAAAACATCTACAAAATGACATGAGTGCCGAGGCAAGCTATATCAGTCAGTTTAACCAGCAGGCGACGGAGTCAATCAAGAATTCTATAGGGGTAAAAAAAATATGTTGTCTTACTGTGATATTTGAGCCGCGTCATGACAAAACCAACATAATGGGTTTGCGACCAGCATGGATCCAGACCAGCCTGCGCAGTCTGATCAGGATCCATGCTGTTTGCTATCAGTTTCTTTACTTGTTATAGGATCTGTAAGCGAACAGCATGGATCCTGATCAGACTGCGCAGTCTGGTCTGGATCCATGCTGGTTGCAAACGCATTACATTGGTTTTGTCGTGATGCGGCTCATTTTACTTCCACTTGTGTATGTGTAGTTAGTGGTACGCCGTCTTTGAATCATGTTGTCCCTTATTGCTGTAGGTTTGAATCCTGTCAGTAACTTGAAACAGTTACATATGTAGAGCCAATCTAGGTATTAGGAGGTCAGCGGAGGTATTTCATCAACATTAAAGCTAAAATGTTTCCACATTAAGAATCAAGTGGGTGTTGATGTGATTTTTAATGATTCGTTTTCTGATTTTGTCTGTAAAATGAATTTAAGTGGATGATAGCAAGGAAGAAAAACAAACAGAAAACAGATGGGGGTTCTTTTAAAAAACTTTACTTTTGGAAAAAAAAATGGAAAATTGAAATTTAAATGACACTTAACCCCTTTTCGCATTAAATTTCTTTAAGCCCAAAAAAAAAAGATTGTTTCAATATTATTAGGGAAAAAATTTCTTAAAA